CAGGCCCAGCACCCAGCAACACTGACTAGCTGCTCAGGAAATATGTGAAAAGCGAAAGAATAACTACTTTCAGGGTTTTCTGAGAACTGCCAGAGAGCGTTACAGTAGAAGGTTCCCTCCAAGGCCCAAGATATTGGTAAGACATTGAATATTCAGTCTTCACTCTGGTTCGAACAATTAGAAATAGAAGGATAGTTTCTCAACATAAAGAGCTTTTAAGCCAATAGTCAACATCATTTTTTATGGTGAAATACCGAATGTGTCTCATTTAAAATCGGAAGCAAGCCAAATTGTCAAACTGTCACCATTCCATTTGAAAAATATTTTATTAACTGAAAATTGGAAATCCACAGAAAAGTAGAAATAGTAACACAATGACTCTCATCTATCCAACTTCAGCCGCACCAAGTCCTGGCCAAACTGGGTGGAGCTCCGTCCCTACTCGCTTTCCCAACTCCTGTAATTCTGCAACAAAATATACATTATTTTTGGTAGCAAACCCAGAGATCTTATCATTATATCCACATACACTTGTGGAAGATAAATACTCTTTTCTAGAAAGACAAAAACACAACAGGGTCCACCAGGTGGCAAGTGGACTCCCACATGGCTGACTGCAGTTCTAGTCCTGGACCTGGTGGCTTGCTTTCTCCTTGCCACATCTACCCCTCAACATCCCTCTGGTCAAATCGAAGAAGAAGAATTAATAAAATTAAATAATTCTTATATATATTTTAAAAGCATTGCGTACTTAAACCTCCCCAATAATTCCTTCACATCAATATCCAACTGTATGATACATGCCATTTATTTTCTGCTTTGAATAATTTTCTATTCTCTCAAATGCCATGTTTCCAGAAGAAAAATAATATATATTTTCAACATGATTTTGACATTTCCTTCTTAACATGTGGCTTGAAATCATGTTCCAGTAACACATGTGGCAACTACACTTCTGAAGGTTTTCTCAGGCTGAGCCTCTTCCTTCCAGAACACTCCTAGTGTCTCAGCCACAAAGAGTCTTCTAAAAGAACCGAAAGGACCCTCTCCTAAGAGAAGTAAAATGCACAGCCTCGAGAATTTTGATAGGGAAATGAAAGTCTCCAAACCAAACTTTCAACAGGGGGGCCACCACAAGAGAAATCAGTGGAATTAACTGGTCTGAGCTAAAAGTCAATAGCCCTTTTCTCGGTAAAGCTGTCGTTATTAACACAAGAGGCTCAAGATGTAGAGTCTAGACGTCAGAAAAGTTGACAAAACTTCTTGTTGCTCATCTGTCTGGATGAATTATGGATTTCTAAACGAGAATCTGAACACTCTGTATTTCCTCGAAATCATTATCATTATATAAGAACATACCTATTCTCCTGTTGGACATTGCCATAGGGCCACTCACCTCATTCGTCCATGTGTCCTTATAAGATGGGAGTATTCCACTTTTAGAAAAATGATACATGTCATTACTCCACAAATATTTCCTGAATGCCTACTATGTGCCGGGCACTGTTTTTAATTGCTTAAGGCACATGGATGACTCTTTGTGGGTCCAACCACAGTGGCACAGGCAGTAGGGCACTGTTGCACCATGCTGGAGTCAGCTGGGAAGGCCTGGGGTTCAGATCCTGCTTGACCTGAGCAGGCTGTGCGTGCCTGTGGGTGTGTTGTGACCCTGAATGGCTGGAAGAGAGAGGGACCAATTGGGAGCCAGGGGGGGAAATGCTGTCAATGCCCCTGTGTGCCCATCTGTCTCTTAATTAATTAATCTTTTAAAAAATGTAAAAATAGACTCCTTGCACTATAATGGTAGAGGGATGTAGGTGTAGTAAGTAAGGCGGGTACACGGAATGTTACTAAGTGGCACATGCCGTGTAGGAGGCGGTAGAGCAGAGTGAGGGCTCAGGAATGGGTGCTGGCAGAAGCACCAAGTAGATGACTGGGGCTGGCCTCATGTGGGAGCAAATGCCTGAGGGGAGGGGAAGGAGCCATGTTGACACCTGAATGAAAGGCTTTCCAGGCAGAGCTCCATAAGACCTAGGGAGGACGGCGTGTGTCTGATGTGTTCAAGAAACAGCAAGGGAGGCAGTAAGGGATGGGAGGGTGACAGGACAAGACGGTGTAGGGGAGTCCTTAAAGCGGCCTCAAAGACTTCCTGCTAGATCATGGCAAAGCCTTCTAGGCCATTTTAAGGACTTAAAAAACTAGGTTTCACATGGAAAATGACAAAACTGATTGAAGGTGGGGAGCTGTATTCATCAGGCCTTTCTACTTGCTGTTTCTGATGCTGTCACATCGTGGGCCTTGCTGGCTCTGGAGGGGCAGCCCCTCCCAGGGGTAACCCATTCCTAGAGGCAGCAAATGGCTCCCCCTTGAGAGCACCTTTCCTGCGCATCACCCAACCCAGAGCTCACCCCTCAACCACCTCCTTCATCGGCTCTCACAGTCTGAGCTAGTAACTCCCTGCCCTAGTTACTCCAGGGCCACGTACCAGACTAGGAACAGCCCCTATGACCCAGACCCCCTGAAATTATTCAAACCAGCCAATCCTAAACCAGTTTATTCTGCTCACCTGCTCCTTCCCATGGAAACCATAGAGAAGTTCTTGCCCTTGTTCTCCTGCCCTCTCTGTGTACTGACTGACCCTGGTACTTACCCAGCGAATGGTACGGGGAGGCCCCCGTTGGGAACTGTAAATAACAAACTATTTTTTCAATGGTGATTGCCTCCTGATCTGTCATCCTTATCATACCTGAATAATATTATAATTTACATTTTAAAACAGGAGAACTTATGGCCAACCCTGTAGTGTAGCAGTTAAGCACAGCGTACAGAGAGCCAGATCCAATATGGCCAGCCAGGGTTCGATTCTCAGCCCAGTGGCTTGAAAAACATGCTGGGCACACATGCCTCAAATCCTGATGGGATGGAGAAATGAAGGAACAAAGATGATGGAGGGACCACATCCCAGTGAAGAATACTTTCTTTCTTTCTGTAGTGAGCACACATGCCCTCTGGCAATGAAAGAAAAACAGGACTACTTATATTATAAAGGTACTCACCAGAGAATCTCTTTGGGTATTATTTAAAATTATTTCCAGTTATAAAAATTTAATTTAGACTACTTTTCAATTATTCAACTCTTTAGCAAAATGAAAATCTATGGGAATAAAACATTGTACTAATCACCTTTTAAAAAATTCTGCTGGGGCCAGCAGGTAGCGTGGTGGATATGGTACTGGACTCCCACATGGTTGACCACAGTCCTAACAGCTTGAATATCATCCTGGGCATATATGTGTGCAGTCCCGAAATCCCAGGAGGAGAAGGAATTGCGACATGGCCATCTCCCATGGGAGATGGGGGGTGTCATTTCTCACTTTCTCTCTCTCTGTTTTCCTCTGGCAAGTGCACATGCCCTATGGCAAAAACCTTAAAAAAAGAAATTAAAAAATCTGCCTAGCTCTGGAAACTTATACC